CTCTATCAGACTATACCAAAAATTTTGAAAAAAAATGAATTGTCGAATTTTCCATGACTTCTAAATGCGAGCGCCCGAATCACCTTTTAAGAGCTACAAGTCAAAGGGAATTTGTTCGATTGCTCTCAAATTTTGACAGTAGCTAGTTTTCCATATACACAACAAAAACACGTCTCCGGATTTTTTATTTCTAAATACTTTTTTTTCAAGGGCGATTTTTGTACGATCACTCCACTTTTTTTAAATTATATTTCAAAAATGTTCTGTAACTTTACACTGGAATTGAATATGGCAAATCGCAGACACGTTTTTTTAGCGCCTTGGCCCCGGAAACGGAGGAATACAGTAAATAAGCGAAAAACAAAATTCGCTTTGAGATGTAACGTTCAAAAGGTGATTCGGGCGCTCGCATTTAGAAGTCGTGAAAAATTCGACAATTCATTTTTTTTTCAAAATTTTTGGTATAGTCTGATAGTCAGTCCTATAAGCTTACAATTTCTTCGCTGTTACTAAGCGATCTAAGAATCATCAATTTCAAGTCATTTTTCCCGGGAATTACCAAAATTAATGACAAATGCCCTCTGTCTTCACCAACCGGCATTTAGTAATTTTCCCCTCTATGTTATAAATAATGATAATCTCAGAAATCATGAGCAAACCTGTTACTTCCATCAGCTCTTCGCATTCAGGTCTAGTGAGTGTGAGTTGGTTTCGCACCTCTGACAATAAGCGATCTTCGAAAAGGTGTATTATCTCTTCAAATCGACGCACAAAATCTTCAGCTAGATGTATGAATAAAAAAGGGACGCACTTAACTGGTTGGTATACAAATAATCATTTTTCTAATTGTATTAAAATAGTGACTGGGAATGTGGGTGATTCCCTAAGGCTTATTGGCTAAATCACAAGTTAAAACAGTTGTGAATAGGTCGAGGAAAATGTATTTGACCCCATTGCGTAACAGGCATTAAGAGAGAAATGAGATCGAAACTCGGTACACTGCTTCCTTAGAACTAATTCAAGAGAGAGATACTAAGTTAACGTACGTCAGAGATGATCTGACCACTTAGCTGTGTGCAAGTCATGAGGGGGAAATTTGGGCAACCCTTCCATGAGCGACTTGATTATTTAAATTTTGCGCACCGCCATAATGAGGTTATTCGCTTTTCGCACACAAGAGCCTCGCCATCAAGTACAGTAAGATGGACATGAGGGAGTAGAAACAAAGTTTACATCGGGAGCAAAGAAAGAGTGAAGAACATCGTTAGTTTGGGATCATAGAGGGACAAGTCGAATGAACAGGTCTCTTTGGCAAGTCGTTACGTGTGCACCACGGCCCTCCGAAAAATGTTGCGGGGAGTACCGTTATGATAACGTGCCTCCTGTAATCTGGGTAACATTTGTGTAAATCCTTAACTATGAGACAGTGTTTCGTCAGTGCTATCAATCGCGCAAACTCAGACTAGTTTTAATTCATGCGATTGGTCGCAAGGATAAAATTCTGTTGTAGAGACAATGATTTTCACAATTGTTACCATGTCATGTCGTTGCCACTTCTCCACGCGACGTGTCCTGAATTGTTTTGGCAGCTGCACACACGGAGCTGCCTGACGCATAGAACGGCCGTTATGTCAATCGACTACTTGGGGTTAGCAAGCAGTGAGGGAGGAACATAGTCGGCCCCTAAGCCATGAATGACTATGACCTTGTCAATTGACGGCGTTAGTGGTAACAAGAAGTGAGAAAGAAGTATAGTCGGCATTTTAACCAAACAAAATAGACATAATTGAGTGGGTTAGATCTGGAAACAGTTAAAATGGAAAGACAAGACGAAGAAACCAGTCATTCTGTCAATTGCCGGACTACTTGAGGTTCGCAAGTAATGGGAGAGGAATACAGTCAGCCCCACAATACTAAGGCAATGGTCTTGCAGAGTTTCTCGAGGAAGGAATTGAACTTAATGAAAGGAAAACCCATTTAGGATACCCCAATGTAATACATTCATACCTACTATTTCGTACTCGTCGTTTCCCTTGGCCGCCGTTTTGAAGAAACGGTTAAAAAACGTTACGCCTTGAAATCGAAAGTCTACAGTCTGCCTTTTCCCCCAAAGTGTCCTTGGTTAAGAGACCCTAACCTACCACGCCATCTTCCAAAAAGTGATTTGTGAATTGTGAGCATTGCTTTATATAACTTAAAGGTCGTTACATGACTTTTGACGTGGTAAAAAGTGATTTGCATAAAGTGATTTGCATAAAGTGATTTGCATAAAGAGATTTGCATAAAGTAATTTGTATTTAGTATGCTCTTTACGTCAAAGAAAACCACGCCACCACTCAAGGTCAAGCCAAATTAAGAACACGTGATGTAATTTTCCGAGAACTAGAGTTACGGCCACTTTCCCGCCAAAACCTCCGTTCAATAATATGCTTTGCTTACAATAAATTGTCAACAGCTTCAATGACTATGAAATCCCTACATTTTCAGCAATTTTCTGACGAAGCTCTCCTTGACATAGCGGCGGGATCTATGTTATTCATTGAGGAACACATTTATGAAAGAAAAACTAATGCAGAATTCTTCAGTAGGCTACATCCATACCTTTCTTTCCATACTCGTAGTGTCCGCGGGCCGCCATTATGGATAAATGGTGAAAAGACGTTACGCTATGGCAATGAAAGCCCACTGTCGGTTTATTTCTTGATAAATCTATTAACATAAGACATCCTAATCTTCCACCATCTTCGCAAAAGTGATCTATCATTATGATCATTGCCCTTATAAAACCCAAAGGCCATCAGCTCTCTTTGACGTGGCGAACAGTGATTTGCCAACATTAGAACACGTGTCGTATTTGAAGAGAGAGAAGTAAAACCACGCCACTGCAATGGCCAATCCAAACAAACATCAATGCCATTCAAGGCCGAGCCAAATTTAGAACGCGTGATGTGATTTTCCGAGAAATCCGAGGGTCCCAATGATGTTTTCTTGCGAATTCAAATCCATTGAAAAGCATGCTCAGTGCCGCAGTTTGATTTCTCAACCGCTATAATGATCACAAAACATCCATATTTCACAGTCATTTTGAAGAGATTTACACCGGTAGATTGTCAGCATTGCCTAACAAACCCAGACAACGTTACCTGACTTGCACGTGGAATAAATTATTTTCTGAATTAAGCCGGGACTTTCCCTTGCATTAACCAAGCGCAAATAACTTTAACAACACTAATATTCAGGTCAAGCTCTGTTGCATAATCAGCAATTCACTTGCGCCATTATTCACGCCGCCATTTACGTCTTATCACAATAGAAATCGCTGTTAAGTAGTGTATATTGTACTGTATTCATAATGTATGCAAAATGCTAGCAGGTATAAAACTCGTGAATTTTGGCTCTACATATCTATTATTACTTGGATTAGTGTGTGTGCGAATAAAGGACCCTTTTTACAGAACAGAGTAGTTAACAAGCTCGTAATGTAATCTTTGACGTTTATATTGTTATCCTACTGACGGTATGTTTTAAGACGACGTATCGCAGATGTCGGAATACTCAGCCTGTACTTACTCGACTCAAAACAACCGTGCCACTGCAACAGTTAAGCTCGAAAATACGTCAAATCAACTCCACAAAGGGACGAGAAACGAAAGGCAAAGCAAAGCTTAACTGCGTGACTGAACTGCGATAAACTAAACCAATCGCGTGACCAAAGGAAACAATGAAATACATTAAAATACTTACTATTGGCGGGAAAAGGCAAGACAACTGTTGTTATATAAAACATGTCGATACTTGTCTGGTATCTTTAAGACGACGTATCGCAGATGTGTTTTGTTGCTGTAAAACTCGTAGAGTCTTCAAGACTCGGGCATTCGACTTTCTTTGAATAAAGGAAACAGCCTTGTATAATATTGAGTGAAATTTGTGGTATGGGACCTCGGAGAGTGAAACGTGTCTGCAACATTAATTCGCTAATTATATACACAGGTGGCCCACGCTCTGTCACAGGCTCTTTCACAGTGAATAATTAAAGAGTTTGTATAGTGGTTTAATTGGACTTGCTATTGAGCTCCGTAAATGTAAAGTTGTGTGAAATAATCAAAGAAATAAAGTCTTACCTTCGTAGAGAGTAGTCTGTGTTGTTCTCCTCGCGATTTGAGGCCGTTTTGATGTGTTTTAACCTGACGCCCTAAATTACCGTGCATAAAGTACGGGAAGGTCGGAAACTTCTTTTGACACATGCTCGCCAAAATCGCTCGAAAACAACACTTAAATACTTTCCCTCGAATCAAAACTCGGCAGCACGAAAGCTAAATAGTTGCCCTTGAGAGAGATTTGACTAGGGTCCAGGTCGACCGCGCATTAACGTCTGCATAATAAATTATTAAACAGGTTTGTCTTTTAATTGTTATCTTTTGAGCTCAATACCCTAGCCAAGTATCGATTTCGGGATCTAATCATGATCATTGTAGTTTGACCTACTTATGGGGTTTCAATTTCTGAGGAAGAAACAGGGTTTATGCGTAGAGTTAATTGCGTGTTATTCATATGTTATTGGTTGCGCGTTTTTATTTTCTAATTCCAATAAAATTTGCTACTGATCCTGCCGCTCGCTGTGCGAAGGCACCAAAGAAATTCAGACTCTTCGAGAAGATCAATACTACGAAACATCAAATGCTCTCGCTTGATATATGATATTTGGCAATATCTGACTCTTCAGATCAGTCTCCTAAATTACACACCAAGGTTCCCTGCATCAGTTCAAAGTTGTAAAAAATTGAATCAAACCATAATGAAGATCTCACAGTGCCGATTAAAACTTTTTTGTTATCATCATTATTTTCTCGCCTGGTTTTCGATTTCTAATCAGAAGCAAGAGTTTATCAGGACTTACACCCTGCAGATAAGAGATATTTTCAGCAGGTATATGCCGTGAAATCAAATAAATTCATAGGCAAACAAATCTATTTGGCTTCATTGTATCGTAAATCATGTTCGGAGTTTGTTGGGTAGCTTTATTATGAAATCCCACCAAATTCTGCTAGGAGAACACCTCTAAAAAGTTGTTCGTCGTCACGTACTCTTTATAAATAAAAGCGTGACCACACCTATGTCAAGAACAAACCAAGGAAAAGGGAAAAAACTCTTGTATTCATAACACATCGGGAGTCTTCTAAAAAAAATCCCATGTATTGTTCACTGTTGTGATGTATGTGAATCCAAAACACGAGATCAGTCACAAACCTCTAGTTCTTTGTCGTTCTTTAATTGTCCTCGATCGGCCCATTCAGCGCTCCACAAGCGGAATACTCAGCCTATACTTACTCGACTCAAAACAACCGTGCCACCGCAACAGTTAAGCTCGAAAATACTTCAGGTCAACTCCACAAAAGAACGAGAAACGAAAGGCAAAGCAAAGCTTAAAATTTCGTGACTGAACTTCGAAAAACTAAACCAATCACGTGACCAAAGAAAACAATGAAATGCATTAAAATAATTACTATTGGCGGGAAAAGACAAGACAGCTGTTGTTAAACGTGTCGATACGTGTCTGCTCACGTCGTGGCAAAATACTACAGCTCTCTGTTGATGTCGCTTTAACTTCTCGCTCTTAAAAAACCGGACGAAGAAGGTTTTGTTAAGGGGAAATGAAAGAATAACATGTCGACACTTGTCTGGCGATAAAAATTGTCTTCTGCGCTGATTCACCCTACAATAAAACCTAGGTCAAGAACAAAAAGATAAAGAAAAGGGAAAACCCCCTTATCTCGTTAATATATTGAGAGTTTTCTGAAAAAAAATCTTATCTATTGTTCACTGTCAGTTAAACATGTCGATACTTGTCTGGTCGTGTCGTGGCAAAATACTACAGCTCTTTGTTGATGTCGCTTTAACTTGTCGCTCTTAAAAAATGGGACGAAGAAGGTTTGTTAGGGGAAATGAAAGAATAACAGGGCAAAATAAGACGTCAAGTGCATACCGTGAATTGCCAGTAACGCTCGATTTTTTCGTATCTCGCGGGGTCCAAGAAGAGGTGACCCGTATACATTTACATTTCCGGAGCGACCCTTTCGACAATAGAGCCAATAGTGTTAGTGAATTAAAAATCAGAGCTCTGAATACACTAAAATAACTCCACAACCATGTGAAAGCATTTTATTACGTTAAAAAAATTCCAGATTTTATTCAGTATTAATCATTTAAGCAGATTTCACTTTAATACAAACACAGTATCCAAAACTTCACCATACAAATTTGAAATAGCATACATTTCTCAGAAACGACTGCTGAAAGCGAGTTTTTGTTTCATTGAATTTTGGCCTAGTTGAGACAAAGTGCGTCCAGCGTTCGTGGGTCTAGAACAAAACGATAAAGAAAAGGGAAAACCCCCTTATCTCGTTAATATATTGAGAGTTTTCTGAAAAAAAATCTTATCTATTGTTCACTGTCAGTTAAACATGTCGATACTTGTCTGGTCGTGTCGTGGCAAAATACTACA